AAATATAAGGTAAAAGTCAGAGTCAGCCTTTTCCCGCCATTTTTTAAACCTCAAATATTTCAAAAAGGAGCACGATAATCTATCAATATTTTTAGCTCATTTTGTTCCTTAACTAATGGTCTTTCAACTTATAGTATCAATTCTAAATTCTTGATTTTTCAAATTTCACCTAAGTACATTCTTAAGTATTTAACCAACTAAATGAAACCATGGTGTCCTACATGTACTCTAATATAAGTGGCTGTACTGCATATTCATTTCTCGTCCAGAATCGTTAGTTTTCATTTCAAATTTTTATTATCTAAATTATAACCGATTAATTGCTCATATATTGGTGGAGTTCTATCATTTTAGCTAATTAACACTACTAAAATTTTGAATGTAGATGTAAGTTTTAAGTCACAATTATGAAAAAAATATTTATAAGGACAACAGGGAATGCGAGAGAATGTCTTCCTTGTTTAATAACAGCGTTTTAACATGTGCTGATATGAAAACAAAATCCGTGTTGGATTAAAAAAATGTCTGTGAAATTGTTTGAATAATACTCATGATACTGCCAGTATTAAAACCGAATAAAATTAGTAGAAAACATTTAGTGAAAATAAAGTGAGTATTAGACTTCTCAAATATATGTGTTTCTTATTTGTCAAGTTTAAACGTTTATGATATACAGTAAATAAGCTATGTCACAGATTTTGGTGAAATTTTGAAATCAACTTTGGAAAAAAATTATCACTCTTAAATAGATTAGAAATATGAGATTTTTCCCGCCGATTTAATGTGCGTTCTCTATAAATTTTCACCTATTTTGAAAGAATTCAAACAGTAATATTTCAGAATAAAATAGTGATGAATATATTATCGATTTCCGGTTATAGTTCATCGAGCTATTGCTGTATGCAAAATTTTACCAAAATCTGTGACATAGTTTCAACATAATTTATGCTGCTTTTGGCGGGGAAACAAATATCACAGAACATGATACAACAAAAACACCGCTTGCAAACATATTATAATTTTTACCGATCTCTGTACAGGGTCAAATGATCATTTAGGGAAATTGCGATTGCCTTGTAGTCCGTCTTTAATTTTAATTCAAATCACTTTCTTAAGTTTACCTTTCCGCTTGAATTTATACTTTAACGGAATTTCTACTTCTTCTCCAAGATTCCATGCAGATCGGACATGTGCTGGGATCGTTCCGCTCGACAAACTTCTATTTGGCCTTTCTTCCCATCTGTAAACCCTCGATCTGTCGTTTTCAATAACCACCCATTTCCATTCAAACGATGTGTTCCTTGGAATTTCTACATTCGCACGCCATCTTCCGGAGTTCACGGGTGTTTCTTCGGCAATCACAGCTGTCTCTACCGACCAGTTACCCAATATTTCTAGTGATCCAGATATCGCAAGTTTTTGATTGACATTCTGTGTTATATAACGTGTTTCAAATACGAATGACACATTTTCGGTCATCGCGGGACTACATGACTCGGCTTCCGCCATGTAGCTGTTGTCAATGACATTTTCACATTATTAGATCAACGTCATAAAGGACGACGTCACAATGAATAGCCTTGTCCAGACTTTGCCGAGAGATGTCCGAACACTGAAGATCCTTCTTTGAAGATCGTCGTTTATAATAAGTTTGACGAAATATTAACGATACAGTACGTGATTTTCATGAAATCTGATATTTCGATTAATTTGAGATCAATATACTAGTACTACATACCCTGTGACTTTTACTATACGTAAGGGACGGACAGTTTTCGGTTAAGGGCAAACGATACAGTTACAGGGGAGGTTATGACGTTGGCAACGTAAAATGTTATTTTTCGCGACGTCAAACTGCAACATATCGAGAAAAGATGCATTTTTCGACTTATTTGTATCATCCAGACTGATATAACTTGAAAACGAGTTCGTGGACCTCTCTTTCTTAAAATGACATTAGGGTTGATTACGTATGAAGATTATTTGTACCATTTTTTTATGAAAAAGTCACCGATGAGATTTCTTAAAATTTTATAAGTATACAGCAAAAAATTACGTTTTTTTCCTAAAATCCTGAAACTTTGATAAAAATTAATTATTTCCAAAGAATTGTTATAAAAATTCAGAGCATACTTATGTAAAAGAGATTTTCCAAATGTTTTTTACATAAATCCTATTGTGTTTATCTTTTGAAACAAAAAAGTTAGGTATGTCTATCCAAAGGATAGAAATGTTCCAATACACGAAATTTTGAGTAAATGTCTAAAATTTCGATCCCCATTTATCTCTTAAAGTAGCACATGAAGGTATATTTTTTTATTACATATATGCATTGACTAGGTGAAAAATAGCTTGTATGCAAATTTTCGTAAAAAAATCACCGTGGGATCAAAACTGTTACGTATGCCCTTAATTCGCTCATGTCCTGATATGCATGAAATATTTGACACTGTACATTAGGCAATCAATAATCAATAAACTTCTCCGCACAAATGTAAGCGCTTTATAATGGGTAACACAGAACTGTGAATATTAAGTGGATAATTTGTGTATACCACTGAAATAACAGAAATGCTTTCCGATAGTTATAAAGGTTTAATTATACATGTATAAAGATTGGTAATTTAACTATGCAAACGTTAATTCAAATCAATCAAATGATGAGCGCAAAGGATAATTATACGTTTATAGTCTGTTATTTCAAATTTCGAAATAATTGTGTCGTTAGTAATCTGCAGTAGATTCTCTCAATTCTTATTAGCCCTCTTAGAGATGATGTAGCTTTGCTGTCAGATATACACAAGACTGTCTTGTGTATATCTTCTGTGTAAAAATAAAATTAAGTTACTTATACTTTATACTTTATAGTTTTATTTTACACTCTTTGATTTTTTAGCACCGTATTATTTATAGATATGATTGATTGATTGATTGTTGGTTGCTTAACGTCCAGTGTCAAATATTTCATGCATATTCAGGACGAGCTTTTTTTATGAGTGGCGAAGTTTTTTTTCCGAGTCTTACACCTTTTCCATTTATATGTTTTCGTGTTGATTCCTTGTTCAGGTTTTGCTTTCTTTTTGGGTTTTATCAGCTCATCAACGGTTGTACTAGGTTTTGGACTTTCAAATTGAATGGCTTCGAGCTTCACTAATGAGAAATAAATTGTGGAAATGCGCATCTGGTGCAGTTAAATTTGTACTGTTCATGTTATTATAATGTTGATGCGAATCTTATTATCTCTTATGTCCTATTTAAGGTAATACAGCCGTGTGATCATATGAAACTGTAAAAAGACCCCATTGGTGTAGTAAATAGAGACAAATGTGTGTATTATAATGTCTCTGGTATTACGCTTTGTAAACGCTTTCAAAACGAACCACAATGATCTACATGCGGTATAAGAATCATGTGTTTAAGCACCTATGTTGAAGACCAGAAATAAAGAACAGCAGCGAGAGGAGATACCAAAGGAACAATTAAAACCATTAAATCGAAAAGTTTTTCGTTTATTTTTGTACATGGATCAAGTCGTTGGTTTTCTCGTTTGAATTGTTTTACATTCTGTAATGTCGGTGCTCTTAAAGCTTACTATACGGTATGGGTTGTGCTCTTTGTTTACGCCGTACAGTGACTAATAATTGCTTACATCTTTGTTAGTTTGTCTTTAGTCACTTTTATGTATAGTTGTCTCATTGGCAATCATACCACATTTTTTTGTTTGTATAACACTATTGTCAAAAGAAAACGACGAAAAGACGATCAACAATCTACAAAACACTTTCAAACAAAACTTAATTAAGCCAAGACTATAACTCTTGTGTCTACCATACACCTATTAGAGGCGACTTGAAAAGCAAGATACGTTAACCTTACTAGTAGGTTATATCAATAAGGTAGTCATCAGAAACACTTATGAATTTACAATGGACTGTGGAAAATTTAGATTATCTTCATCTTGCAAGAAATGATGAGGTTTACAAAATAGAGAATAATGAGCCAAAATCTACAGGAAAATGGACACTCCCCCCCCCCCCAAAAAAGAAGAATAGAGTAAAATAGGGCAAACAAATAAAAATAGAGAATAATAGGGTGCTAAAATATAAAGAATAGAGTAAAATTGGGCAAACAAATAAAAATAGAGAATAATGGGGTGCTATAATATAGAGAATAGAAAATAATATGGGCAAAAAAATACATACAGGAGAAAAATGACCTAAGATTTACAAAGATGCTTTATAAGAGATCACGATGACTCCAACATCATTTTAAGGAGAACATTAATTTTATAACATTAGACTATAGAAGTCTGTACTTATACTGTGCTTATAGGTTAAAAGTAACATGGTGATCCAGCCATTTTTAAATGGGGGGTTCCAACCCAGGATAAAGGGGGGGGGGGGGGGGTTCCAACCATATATCCCCATTCAAAAGCATTGATCGTCAAAAAAAATAAAGGTTTCAATCCCCAGAACTCCCACCCCTGGATCCGCCACTGAAGGAGGTACACAAAGTGCCTCCTGGTTTATGTTAAGGATTTAATTGAAGTTTCATTAAAATCCAGCAAGTCTATACTTTAGGAAGAGTTTTGGTTCCAAAGCAAAGAAGGATGAAAGAACAGACACATCAGTCATGACACACTGTGACTTCAGTGGGCTGATGTATGTCTAATGAATTAAACAACACATTCTGAAATAATTTTCTTTACCTACTACTGTGGATTCATCAACTCATTATTATTCGTGGGGTACCATTTTTCGTGGAATTCGTGGATAAGTGTTTACCACAAATGAAAATGTTCAACAAAGTACACATTTCTATTGGCTTGTATGCTGACTGGCAAAACACATGCAATCAAATATAAAAAAAATATACAAATTTCCTCAATCCACGAAACTTAGTTCCCAAGAAAATACAAATCCATAGTAATATGAAGCAGAATCCTTGAACTTGTATATTTTTCAAGTCTTTTATAATAAATAAAAACAGTAAAATCTAAATTAAAGGATTAACAAATTTTATTAGAAAAACCTGTGATGTTATGGTATTACACAATGAATGGATTTTGACAGTCTTTATAAGCTACCTTGATTCATAACAAAATTATCTATAAATATCTACCAGCAAATGAATTATTTACAAATGAAAAAATTAAATCTTTCATTTTTTATAGAAGGCATCATTTAACTTTATGAATGGCTTATATTTGAGGAAAACAATACCAATACACTGTTCAAGTATAAATAGCCGTTACATAAGAACTATCGGCCGATATTTTTTGTTTTTGTCTGATCGACATTCCTGTCAGCAATGATGAAACATATAAGTTTACAAGTATTGTAACAAACTGAAATATATATTTGGACTGGGTTGCATAAATGTATGTTTATAAAGTAAAATGTCATTTAAATTTTTTAAATGTTCATTAAATTTAATTATTCAATTGACACTTAAAAAATGTAGACAACTTTTAATGTTAATTGACATTTGTGAAATGCAGTCCATATTTTCAATAATATAAATAACATAGCACATCAAATAGTTGTGAAGGAATGAGCCTGTGAAACACGAGAAACATCAGTCACTGCATAAGTACTTCATAAATATAAATAAAAAAAATCATGAAACATTTAATACTAATTACAATCAATATTTCGTAATTTATTTATTTAAAAAAAATATTGTTTTCTAGAGGTAGCACTAAAATGCAAAAGAGACCTTTCCGTGCTAGCTTATGATCAAGCCCAGCAAGTACTTTCAAAACATTGCTGCATCATTTTCCCCAAACAAAGTAGTTTTATAAACATACAAAATTTAACATGAAAATAAAGTTTTCTCAAGGAAGTACTTACTAATCAAGCTTTAGAAACCATAATAAAATGGTCAAGATAGTATAGAAAACAGCACTTTTCGTACTTAGGTTACATAGACATGCACCAATTTATATAAACTCATCATAATGTCAACAAAACATATCACCTATTGGAAAATGGAAATTGTACTTTTTTATCTGCCATGCTTTCTTATAATATGTCGATTTTAATTTAATTTTTATGGTTAGATTAAGGTTTTTGTCTAATTGTCATCATTTCTTATCACATCTTTGCTTTTAAGCTCATTTACTTCTGATCACTAAGATATGATGGCATGGGAAAATTAACCAACCAGGTGTCATATCATCATTCAAATTATTCTAGCCTCCAACCTGCGAACTTCTGCCCACAAAACAATGTTAAAAACTTATCTACTTATGGCCAAATTCAAAGACAGAAAAAAATATAATCTTCAATCATAGCTTTACAAAAACATCAAAATTCTCTTCATCCACTCATTCTTTTTAATAACTTTGCAAATACAAAGCCATCTTTGCTTCATCTTACGTTTGTATGTGACCTATGTCAGTGAGCAGTTTATTTTTTTTTTTTTTATCTTTACAATTTGTCTTGATCATTAAAATCTATAAAGATTATCATGACATTGTTATAATATATTTCTTGTATCATAATATTAATTCTGTTTTCTTAAATATGATAAATTACATAAATGAGTATTATACATGTGTCCCACTTCCAAATTACTTTAAATAAACACTTCTTACAAATGTATAAATCAGGGCCATCTACCAAAAAAAAAACACATCACACATCTAATTCTATTTTTACTCTTTCACTGCACTAACTCGCCAAAACATTGCAGCCCGGAGGCTTTTTTATGATATCAATATGCCAAAAAAAATCAATTATCTCGCTGCATTGAAGACCTGTTGGTGACCTTCTGCTGTTGTCTGTTCTATGGTCGGGTTGTTGTCTCTTTGACACATTCCCCATTTCCATTCTCAATTTTATAGAAGTTTGTGTTTTGCTGAAAAAAGTATGTTGACCTACAGATCTTTTACATGACTTGTCTACAAGGGGGGTTCCAACCCGGACCCCCCCCCCCCCCGTATTTTTTTGACAATCAATGCTTTTGAATGGGGACATATGGTTGGAACCCCCTTTTAAAATTGGCTTGATCCATCATCCACCTCTGCTCTCTCATTGACAAATACTCAAAATCTACTTATATTTAATTATACATTGAATTTTGTGACATAATTTCCATTTTGTAGGCACAAAAAAGTGATCTATAGGCCGTAGCTGAAACCAAAGATAATATGTTAAGGGGAGATAACTTTAGTTCCTAAGTCCTGAATGCTGGCCACTTGAATTTTGCATACCTGCCCTGGCTCAACCAACGTTGTTCATAAATTGAATTAAGCTCAACTGAGGAAAACAATATGTAAATTTGTCAAGTTGGTAACTGAAATTTATTTTTAGCTATTGACAGTCTTTTAAATTTGTTAGTTTAATTTTTATACACAAATGAAAATATACTCACTTCCTACTAGTAAATAATGATTGGACAGATGAGTAAAAAAATTAACAAGAACATAATCATATCACATAGAAAACAAGAATGTGTCCATAGTACACAGATGCCCCACTCGCACTATAATTTTCTACGTTCAGTGGACCGTGAAATTGGGGTCAAAACTCTAATTTGACATTAAAATAAGAAAGATCATATCATGGGGAACATGTGTACTAAGTTTCAAGTTGATTGGAATTCAACTTCAGCAAAAACTATCTTGACCAAAAACTTTAACCTGACTTGACCAAAAACTTCAACCTGAAGCAGGACAGACTCTTTGATTTTAAAATCCATGCCAACTATCAAATATCACTTAAATACAATTATCTTAACTTTCTAAAGCTCTGCCCAACTTAAATAATTTCATAGTTTATAGTTATTGTCAAATAAGAGAAAATATCAGGATGTGTCCATTGCTGAAAAAAAAACATTTTAATTTATCATGCAAATGGCAGTGCTTCAAAATTTTACACAACTTTCAAAAAATGTTCTACACACAGCTTTTTTCAAAACTTTTTATTGCAGTATCTAATCATAAAATTGACAAAAAATGATATAGATAAAATTGATCATGTGACATCTTTAATGTCATTTATAAACAATTTTTTATTTTATTAATACCCAGGCATATTTAACCTCAATTCATCATCAGTATAATACAGTACACCCAAGGTAATTAAGTTATGTATCACTCGTGTTGGTGTTTGTGCTTTTTTTCAGTAAGAAGAAAGATCTTATGTGTACCAAAAACACCAGTAAACATAGCATACACCAGTCAACATGTTTCTTGATCACAACTGTGCATTAGTACATTTACAGTGTTGACTAGTATAAAAAACAATCAAATAAAAAAATGTAACAAAATCATTAGTATTGTAAATTTTGATGAGTTTTCATTTCATAGACATATCCCTGAAGTTATTGTGTCAGATAAGTAGGTCACAGTGGCTGACTTTTCTGTGGAGTTGCCACTGTAACTGTTATATCTTCTCCTTCCAAGACAGGATTTTCTATTCCTTTTGTTTCATCAGTTACCACCATGTCTGCAAATATATGATACCAAAGTTGAAATGTGGGAAATAAAAAATGATTAATTAATTGTTGGTTGCTTAATGTCCAGCGGCAAATATTTCATGCAAAATGTATGAAATACCGTTGCTGCTATTTTGAAGAAACATTTTTATCAATATAAGAGGTGGTCAGTCTTTATATTAGCATGGGTAGTTGGCAGTACTCTCTAAACAATCTATAATCTAGCATCAGTGAATTGTAACGTTACATTTTGAAGTAAAATCAAATTTCAACCTACCTGTATTTCCATCTGATTAATAAAGTGGATAGAAAACCAATACTTTTAGCCATTTCATTAGTAAGTAGGAAATATTTACAAAACCACTATATTATATAAACATTTATATACAATTTAAGCAAGAAAAGTAACAAGTTCAGGACAAAATCTACATGAAATTGTTAGTCTACGCATCATTTACCTATAGTTGTAAAGATATATTAACTACATGGTCCTGTCTAAAAAGTTACTAAAAAGCTAAAAGACAAAAATAATATGATAATAAAATGAGGAAAACGAACCCCACCAAAAAACCAGGGGTGATCTCAGGTGCTACCGAATGGTATGCAAATCCCTCTCCACATGTATCAACTTTTGTTTTGCTCATGTAAGTAAAAGTGTAGTGATGTAACATTCCAGGAAAAGAGGACAGGATTCTGAATACAACAATGTGAAACAGATATTTAATAACAGTCAACCAACTCTTGATGGTGTCAGTAAAATGACTGAAGGAATAGTTTTGGAAGTTATAATAGACAATAGCGTAATTTACTGACTGTCCTACCTGTTGCAATAAAGAATTTCATACATTATATTAAAATTTAATGAAAATGGTAAAATATGATTTATGATCTATCAGGGACAAAATCTACATAAAATCACATGTTTTTTGGCAGAAAATGTTGTCTATGAAAGTGTGCAGAAAACAATGTTTGTTTTATATCTTCTACGACAACTTTTGTCCAAAGCAACCACAGGGTATTCAGGGATTCTAATTTTGTATACTTTGTCCTGAAGAGGCAAATCTAATTGGCGAAACATGTCGACCAATAAAAGTTGCAGTTTATTTAAGTGTTGTTGTCAATTGAGCGGCCATATGAAAAGAGTAAACACAATACAATAAAATGTGAACAAAATGGTTCTAATGATAAAATAAAATAATATGGTTAAATGAAATCCATGCAGTTCTAAAAAGTTAATGAAGAAAAAATTGTTAATTGTTAGTACTATATTCAAACAAAACAAGCATAAAGAAATAATGTATTCATGTCCCAGACTATTAATAGCATATTTCAACACAGGCTTAAGAGACAAGGAGTTTGTTCAAATGTCAATTTTAAAATAAAATAATGTCCATTCTGTTGTTTCTTTCCGCTTCATTTTAATTTATTATCTCCTAAAACAAAATAATATGTGGAATATCCAGTGTCTTTGAGTGAATTCTGGTATCAAAATGATCTAAAATAACTTGCCATGAGTTTGAAGAAAATGTATTAGCAGTAATATTCTACATATTAATTAATTTTATGTTTATAATTTCTGTATTACCATGATTACCAGATGTATTGGGAAATATAACTTAGGAAACTTATCTCATTTAAATATTTTCATCTGCATCAATAAAATTGTTATAACTTTTAGTTCATCAACAAATTAAGTTATTTCTAATGTAACAAATTGGTCAAGGGGAGATAACTGTTATTGACTTTGAACAATTATTGTGTATTGCTTGATTTTCTTAAAATTAAATATTGTTTCTTTTTATCACTTCAAACTGAATTGTCTTTTGTGTTTAAACAGAGACATTGAATTAAAAAATATCAAATTTGTCAGAAATTTAATAAAATTACATAGAAACATCCAAAGGACATAATGTTACTATGATAGTCTGGAACACAAACAATAAAGTTAAAAAGAAAATGAATATCCTGTTTTCCCAAAGCAGTTTTATGATTCATTCCATTGAGCTTCACCCCAGCAACATTTTCTGCAGAAAACATCAATTACTTCACATACACGAAATATTTGAAAATAAAATTCCATATTTTTTTCTTCAAAAATCTTAATATGGTTGTAACATTTTCTGCATAAAATTTGTTGAGTTAAATAGCAAAAACATCTACAATATTTAATGATTTTCTCCCCAAACATACCTGATATATTTGAAAATCATATTCATTAATTTTTTTTCTTCAAAATTCCAGATAAGGATGTAAGTAAAAAGGAATTCTGATTCCCACTCAATATATTTTTCCTTGCAAAATCATTCCAAAATTTTTCATACATACACAATGTCAACCCCCCCCCCCCCCCCCCCCCCCTAAAAGGTAACATCCATGCCCCTATTCAGTTGGACTTTATGTTGATTTCTATTTCTTATTTTTTCGCAAAAACAATTATTGCTAGATAGCTTGAATTAAAATGAAAAAAGCTATGACAAGCCCATGCAGCACTAAAAAGTAAACAGAAAATGATTAGTTGTTAGTGAAATGAACATACAACACACTTTACGCATACGGTAGTAGTCCATCATCGTCATCATCTAATAGCTGGTTAACATCGTCAAAATCTGCATCATCCCCTGAATCTACGTTGATCTCGCTATATCCTTTAAAGTTTTAAAAATGTAAATCAATTTACAAAATGTACCTATGATAATGCAAGATCATATCATTAAAATTTAAAAAATGTAAAAATATACAAAAATGCACTTCTTTTTTATAATGCAAAATTATGTAAAATTATTCATCCTCCTGTTGCTATTGGTTACAATATTTCTCCACGCAAAGTAGTCAAATTTTAGACTTTCAACATGCAAAATTTAACATGACGACTAAAAAATTCCATTTCAGACTTTAATCTTACGCTAAGTTATCCATGATTCCCCAACCTTAGATCTTACTGCTCTGCACACCATGCACTTTTTTTTTTAATAAATTCCATACCATTTTTTATCAATTTAAGTTCTTACAAAAATATGTATTTAATAAAGCTAACCTTTAGTAATTTTCTCTGCTTCTTTTCTGTCCTTTTCTATAAATAAAGCTGTAGCTAAGAAGAATCCTCCTCCTACTACACATATAAAGGGCGTCATATACAGAGCACTCTGTAAGGTAGCAAACTGTACACTTGGTGTCTTGGGTGGGTCTTTGTACTTCTTAGCTAAAGCATCACTTATCTGAAATATCATTCAAACATACTTTTGACACTTTTGAAAATTCTTATCTTATTCTTATTAGTAAGTCATCATAATAAATAATGCAATAAGATAGTGTTTATTGGATATGGATGCTCTTTGTCAACTAAACTGGTCATTTCAAGTAATAAGGGTCAATATAGAAAGATAAATTTTGGTTACGTTTGACATGTAATATAATTATTAATGTAATTTAGGTAAATATTATTATTTCTCTTAGAAAAATAATTCCACTTGCAAGCTGAAGAAATATATCATTCTTCTCTTGACAATATTTATTAATATACTTCAATGCAAAAAAAAACTATAGTATTCATAAAAGCTATTCCATTTAAACATACATGGTAACCAGGCAAAGGCATTTTCAATGGAGTTACCACGTGCACCTATTTTATTTATGTTTTCACTGTACTTGACACCCACCCATAATAAGATTCCATGGGTCCCATGTATGTATTTATGAAATAGTCCTAACAATATGTCCCACTGTATCAGTAATATGCTTTTGCTAAAGTTTGCCAAGGAGATTTGCTGCAAATTTATAATAATGTTCTGGTCCGTTTAACAACTAAATATGGTATTGATTCCTTTAACAAGGCTTATTACTATTTAATAAAACCTCTAAACATTTTCTCAAAATCAAATGGACCATATACTCACAAGGCCTATAAGGTAAGGACTACCAGCATCACCTAAAGCATGGGACATTAAAATCTGTACTGCTTCGGCTGCTGAACGTCTTGTAGGTATGACACAATACTGAAACACAAAATTGACATGAAGAATAATGTAAATATATTCTATCTTTTATATATACAGTGACAATCTACAAACTTTCCATCCCTTGTACATTTTGAGACTGTTGTCTGTTATCTTTTCAATTTGGCTTGCAGACAATTCCTTTAACTACATCATTTAATATGATTTCTTCATCTCCACCCCATCCTGACCCCTGCCAAGTGGCATGGTCTGATAATTAAGATTTCAAATAAAAATTTAATCTTTCAGCGGCAATTACTCATAAAAGGAGTTATTTAGTGAAATTATTCATCCTCCTGTTGCTATTAGTTACAATATTTCTCCAAGCAAAGTAGTCACATTTAAGATTTTCAACATTCAAGATTTAACATGATGACTAAAAATTCCATCTCAGAATTGAATCTTAACCTAAATTATCTAGGATTCCCAAACCTAAGATTTTTACAACTTTGCAATGGTGACTTATTTGTAGATCTAATTGGGTCTTTGTTTTTTTATAATTTCCCTTTTATGCCAGGTGAGCTAAAAGGTGTAATACCACCAAATCATAGTACGTCACATCCGGTTGCATACGAAAATAGGTCGAAGAAAATATTCCCTTGAATTTGACAGTTGTAGGTAATTGATTCTACATTTCATTGCAGTAAAACATTTCTGTGTCATAAACATATGTCTTTGGTATTTCAAAGCACCATTATTTTTTTATTTGGGGTTTCTATAGAATATTTTGGAAACTTGAGGTTACATGGTTACTAAAGCTTGTACACAGGTTAAAAAAGGGGGAAATTTGATTGGTTAACTTCCAGTGATGGTTATTTTCTTATATGCAATGAAATGTAATGTGAATTTTTTTCTATAGTACTGGACAGGATAAAACTTTACTCATGCCAAGTATTTCTTTATTTAAAACAAAGATAAATTCTGCACAATTTTTTGAAAAGTGCAAATTTAACAAAGACTAATAGGGGAAAATCAATGGTGGTATTACACCTAATATGGGAAGCTGTACATGCACCTTTGACCCAAGGCTTCCAAAACGGTCATATATTCCGGACATTTGTATAATGTCCGATAAAAGTCCGGCTGGGAAAAGCACGAAACGGTCATCTACTTTTTAGATTTCAAGGCTTTCTTAAGAGACGGTCATTTTAACATAATTCACGATCTTTTTGACCCAACCTTTTGCCTTTAACAGCCACACATTTCCGGTCATAAAAGTGACATGATCATTAAGTACTATCAAAACAACCCCTTCTTTAATACCTTCTCATTTTAATCAAGGCTAATTAGTCGTCAAACAGCTGAAATTTACCTGTTCAGGTGACAGGTAAACTATTTTGTACCGGACATTGATCGGTCTATTCAAAGTTATTTTACTACATTTCACCGGTTTGCATCTAATTAATTTAGTCAAAAAGATTTAAATTATCAGAAATACATTTACAAATAAAATTTGATGAATAAATTAAAGAGGTGAAAATGAAAAATCGTCATAACCACGTTTTTTGAACCAGAGACATGTCTCTGTTTGAACTAGTACATGTGTGCGCATTTGCATGTGTGCAGGTGTGAAATTTAATTATGCATCCTAATTTCTTCAAAAATTTTTAAAATTGTCATTGATACCTTAATCTCACGTTTATTTCGAATATTTTCTTGAAGAAATAATGTAGAATTAACCCGAATAATTCAGTCCCTCCCCGTGATCGACTCTCCCACTCGCGAGGGCCTGAATTCTTTATACAATAAAAACGCGTCACGAATCCATGATTTTGATTGGTGCTCTCTGTGAGAGAGAGCCAATCAGCTAATAGCTCAATGTTATCGAGATAGGTAAATCCCGAGCTAATTCCGAATGATTATTTGACGATTTTTTATTGACAAGGCCTTCGGGCATTAATGTAGCCATCGTAGAGCAGTGGAATATAACGACTGAATTATTCGGGTTAACGTAGAATGAGCTACTTACACTCATTCATGCTTTGCAAACGTACACGGAATTTACGTATCCGTCTCTGGTCCATGTTTTACCATTGTCAAGATAACATTCGGTTTCAGATTTAAAAACAAAAGTAAAGTTTTTGACAACGTTATTTTGCACAAATTAAGAGTCTAAGGCAGATATAAGTACGCTGATGTTTCACACTTCGGATGATGCACTGCCAATTTAACAGTTTACGTCAGAACTTCGAATTTGAATCAAAGAAAGTTTAATATCGTTTTTTTAAAATATCAATCATTGGGATGGCCAACTCGGCAACTGATTACCATAATTGCCTTTTATTTATTTAGTCTTAAGGGATTAAAATCGGGATAATATATAAAATGTCCGGCTGGCTAAAAATAATTTTGGAAGCCCTGCTTTGACCTTGTAAGTACTCTCATGTGTTAAAATTTCTTGCTATTTAAGTGAAATATTACAAATAATGAAATATTCTGAGTGGATTGAGTCTCCAAAACACATTTTATGGGAAAATTTCCTTGAAATAGGACTTTACCATGAATATTAGTTGACAGAACAAGCCATACTTAGAGTTTTGGGGAGCTTTTTCTCCTTATTTCTTATATTCTGCTATACTAGAAAAATTTTCCAAAGAAATACTTTAATAAATATATAGTTTTAAGTAAATGAAATCATTTTTAAAGCAGTAACAACAAATTATTCACCAAAAGAGAAGCTTTTTATGTCCCTCTCTGGAATGTGGCATAAATTTAAGTTTTACGTAAGGACTTATTGAAATCTCCTTGGAGACAATACTTTTATACGGATAGTTCATTCAGCTTGAATACTTCAATTAATCATTTATTATAACATTTCTATCATAAATGAGTGAAAGTTACCCCAAAATTTTTATTTATTGGCCTAAAAAGTAGAAATTTGGATGAAATGAGAGGTATAAATGGACCAAAAGAGACCTTATAGGGAAGACAAAGAGGTCCATTAGTAGTATTTATCATCCTAAAGTCATCTTGTGTATCATATTCAACTGTTTGTAGGCAGATGAGATAAATATTTGATCATTTATTGGTCCACACTATATTCTATCATGATGCGGCTTGGTTTGGATTTTTCGAAGAAATTTTGCTTGAATCGCTGTAGATGTCGTCTTACATTATACTAGATTTTTCTCAAACTATTGAACTGATTATGACAAAACTTGACAGGAATGCTTGAAATAACCAGTATTACAAAGGAAAAAAGTCACATTCAGTTTATTTAACAAAAAAGCCTTCTTTAGGTGTAATACCACCAAATCATAGTACGTCACATCCGGTTGCATACGAAAAAAGGTCGAAAAAAAATATTCCCTTGAATTTGACAGTTGTAGGTAATTGATCCTACATTTCATTGCAATAATGTATTTCTGTGTCATAAACATATATCTTGGGTATTTCAAAGCACCATTATTTTTTTATTTGGGGTTTCTATAGAATATTTTGGAAACTAGAGGTTACATGGTTACTAAAGCTTGTACACAGGTTAAAAAAGGGGGGAAATTTGATTGGTTAACTTCCAGTGATGGTTATTTTCTTATATGCAATGAAATGTTATGTGAAATTTTTTCTATAGTACTGGACACGATAAAACTTTACTCATGCCAAGTATTTCTTTATTTAAAACAAAGATAAATTCTGCACAATTTTTTGAAAAGTGCAAATTTAACAAGGACTAATAGGGGAAAATAAATGGTGGTATTACACCTAAAAATGAAGATGGATGGAAGTATGTAGAGGCAAAAGTAAATCTATGTTCCAGGCACGTTCCTGTGACGGTCGTAAATTCTATGAACTGCTTTCCATTATAATACTAACCAATAACATATCTGCTACTATTGACCAGTTTAAACATAAACATACTTCTCCCAGGAATATAAGTATCTAAAATACAGAAAAAAAGAGCAAGTAAATGACAAAATTTCCCTCACAATCACCTATTTTTTATACAAAAAGGGTTGAACACAACAGAGAGCATACTATAGTTTATATTATGAGTGTAATATATTTATATCATAAGGGTGCACTTGATTGAATAATATGAAGTAAAATATGTCATCAGACAGACAGTATTTTTCCATACCAGCAACGGACAAAAACATAAATGAGGGGCGGAAGAAGGGGGTGTCATCCCGAACTCCCTAAAAAATAAAGTATTCTTTCCCAGATCTTAAGAATATATCATTAATTCCAGAGTTGATAGGTAGAAATCCCAAATTACCACGAAAATAAAAGCCCAATCCCCAATTCCTGCAAAAATAAAGGCTCAGTCTTGAAAAGGGTCCTTCCGCCCCTCATAAATGTTCCTACAATGTCCAATATTATTACTTTACAGTCAAAGACCTTTAAACAACTGCTATCTGCTCAAATGAAGAACAAAAATATAAAATAAAAGCACTGCCTTTGATATACTGACAATTTCCAATTATTTTTTTTAGATTTTTTTGGTCTCATGCATTTTAATAGCTTATTGCAATATACATGCTTAATGATTGTTTGTCTCTGCTGCTGTGGAGATGCAATTAAAAATGTTTCCCCTTTTTAGATGTAAGCTCCTTATTTTAACATGTAACAACGCTTTGATTTTAGTCTTTTTTTTTTTAAATAGAGTTAATGACAGATATTTGTTAGTCTGTTGTTAAGGACCATATATTGACCTTGAGGTGTCTTTTGTGTTATTTTCTAATTGACATATACCACACTCCTTCTATTATTCAAATTGAATTGTAAATAAAAGTTAATATCAAGTCAGGAATATAACATTCATTTTCCATTAATTTTATATTTTGGTTTTTCTAAATTTTGCAAATAAAAATGACCTTGGAAATAAGAACATTTATTATGCTCCAGTCTTTTTACTTACCCATGTAGCTGTTGTATTATATTTTGATACTACTAATGCAAAGAATAGGAATGGAGTACAAGATAACAACCCAAAGGCACATATCAATGGATCAGCTCTGGGATTCAGTCGTTTGTATCGCCGTGAAGATTCGGCGCCTAAAAACACACCGATGAAACCTGCAGCTATAGTTATCCCTCCAAAGGTCAAACTCACTCTGAAATATTAACATAAATCTCAAATTACAAAGCTTAAAAATTTACAAACATTCTAAAAATCCTGTCGTTGTACATTGTCAGACTCTTTTTATTGTTACTGTTTTATTGCCCCCTATTTAACCTTCATGTTTTCTTGTACTGTTTTTTGTCATTCTTTTTCTAACATGAGTTTTAAGCTACTTGTGTCAAAAAAAAAAAGGTACCCTTTACCAATGGTCCACATGAGGTCCTTTTTAATCTTGTTTTCCAAATGTTAGAGCATACTCAGTGTTGAAGACAATTAATCGTCGAATATTAATTTTTCGTTACTTATAGGCATGCTTAACTGTCTTGTTTGCTCAGTTGATTTTATCTGAATTATATGTTGACAGCATTTAAGATAAAGGTTTAACAATATGTATTAAGAAAACTACCCTATTATTCTTGACTTTGTCTAACTTCTTCAATAGCATTTTAATAACACCATAACAGTTTTTTATCAAATACCCAGGATATAATTAATGTCAAGTGCATTTCTTATTAGCTAACTGATTTTAAGGAGAAAGATTTAGTAAAGATAAAAAAATAGCTCAAACTTGCAAAAAAAACTCTTATGTAGACTTATATTGAAAGATCTCAAAAGAAAGGAATCAATAAACCATTTCACAGAATCTACAGACATTTTTAACTTAACATATTTATTAAGTGAGGAAAGGGAGAAAACTCATGATATCTTAAAGTGTGTTGACAATATTCATATTTGCAACAGAGCAAGGTATTGTATGAATCAAAATAAAAAGATAAATAGGAATAGTCTAAATTTATATGACTTATATAAAAATACTGTGGATTCATTTAACTTTGTGGACACAAATTTCGTGGATTGAGGAAAACTTGCATTTTCATGGATAATTGATTTCATGGTTTTTCAAAATTCTGCATACAAACCATTCAAATTTTTAGAAATTATTTGAACATTTAAATTGAAGGTTCAGCTGTACAATAAAAATCAATAAAAATTGGTATCCCACAGTACACAAAAATTGACTGACACTGATACTTACATGCTTTCTTTTTGATATCCGCCCTGAACACTGATAGAACGCTGCATGTACAGTGGGGCCCACAGAGCCAGAGCTCCTGTTACAAAAGCTACACAAGTAAATCCAAATGTGGATAACATAAAACTTTTACTGAAATGTAAAAATTATTAATGATAATATTGTATGAAAATTTTGAAATAAAATAAAATAAAAGAAGAAAGTGTCCATGGGACACAGATGCCCCCGCTTATAAATATACAGCAAATTCAGCAATTTTCCATTTTTAAAGGGACATAAATGGAGAATGGTGAAAGTAATGTCACCCAAATCTGAAATTGATCTATTTGTGGTGGTAATAAGCATTGCATATAATAAGTTTCATAACATTTGAATGAGAACAAAAACCAATTTCTGGACTTATGTATGTACGTACAGACGGACAAGGGTAAAATTGAATAGCAGCGGGGGCATAATTAAACAAGAGGCTCATGAGAGCCTGATATCGCTCACCTGTAATTTCAGTTTCAGGCATTTGACTTATTTGTAGATCTTACTTTGCTAAACAATTTTGTCATTTACACTTTCTCTCTTTCTATAATAATATTAAAGATAATACATAACCCAAAACTGTAAAATTTCCTAAAAATTAACTATTTCTGGACAGCAACCCAACAATAAGTTGTCCTATTGGTCTGAAGTTTACTTGACAGGTAGATCTAAACTTGTTTAACACTTTCACCTATGTCAGTTTTGCTCTTACTGCTTTAGTTTTTGAGATGAAAGCCAAAAACTTCTTTTGACCCCTATGTTCTATTTTTAGAAACTGCTGCCATGTTTTTGAATGGATCAAATCCCTGGATACAATCTATAAACTAGATATCTTAAGGAACATTCAATTAAAGTTTTTAAGTATTTGGCCAAGTAGTTTCAGAGAAGAAGATTTTTGAAAAAGTAATTAGACTTTCACAAAAAATGTCAAAAAAAAACTGTTTTAAGGGCAATAACTCCTTAAGGGGTCAATTGACTATTTTGATCATGTTGATTATTTGTAGATCTTACTTAGCTGAACATTTATTGCCATTTACACTTTCTCTCTATCTTTTATAATATTAAAAGAAAATAACCAAAAACAGTAAAATTTAATAAAAATAAACTATTTCCAACAGTAACCCAACAATGGGTTGTCGAACTTGTCTGAAAATTTCATAACAGATAGATAATGACCCATTTATCACTTTAACTCCCTTTCACTTTTGCCCTTACTGCTGTAGTTTTTGAGATATAAGCCCAAAACTGCTTTTGTCCCCTATGTTCTATTTTTAGCCATGGCGGCCATGTTTGTAGATGGATCAAAACTTTGTATACAATTTATAAACTAGACACCCTAAGGAACATTCAGTTAAAGTTTGGAAGTATTTGGCCCAGTAGTTTCAGAGAAAAAGATTTTTGAAAAAGTAATAGACATGCTCGAAAAATTGTAAAAAATAAACATTTCAAGGGCAATAACTCCTTAAGGAGTCAATTGACTATTTTGATCATTTGGCTTATTTGTAGATCCTACTTAGCTGAACATTTTTGCCATTTACACTTTCTCTCTATCTATTATAATATTAAAGATAATAACCAAAAACAGTAAAATTTCATAAAAATAAACTATTTCGGACAGTAACCCTACAATGGTTGTCCAATTGGTCTGAAAATTTCATAGCAGATAGATCTTGATTTATTCAACACTTTAACTCCGTGTCACTTTTGCTCTAACTGCTATAGTTTTTGAGATAAAAGCCAAAAACTGCATTTGACCCCTATGTTCCATTTTTAGCCATGGCGGCCATGTTTGTTAATGGATCAAAACTTCGGATACAGTTTATAAACCAGTTACCCTAAGGAACATTCAGTTAAAGTTTAGAAGTATTAGGCCCAGTAGTTGCAGAGGAGAAGATTTTTAAATGTTAGCAAACATGATGAACAAATTGTGTAAAATTGTCTTTAAAGGGCAATAATTCCTTAAGGGGTCAATTGACAATTTTGGTCATATTAACTTTTTTGTAGATCTTACTTTGCTGAACATTTTTGCTGTTTACAGTTTATCTGTATCTTCAATAATATTCAAGATAATAACCATAAACTGCAAAATTTCCTTAAAATTACCAATTTAGTGGCAGCAAGCCAACAATGGGTTGTTCGGTTCGTCTGAAAATTTCAGGGCTGATAGATCTTGACCTATTGAACATTTTTACCCTGTCAGATTTGCTCTAAATGGTTTAGTTTTTGAGATGAAAGCCAAAAACTGCATTTGATCCCTATGTTCTATCTTTAGCCATGGCGGCCATGTTTGTTGATGGATCAAAACTTCGGATACAATTTATAAACTAGATACCCTAAGGAACATTCAGTTAAAGTTTGAAGGTATTTTGCCATGTAGTTTCAGAGGAGAAGATTCTTGAAAAAATTTACGACGACGACAGACGACGACGGGCACCAAGTGATGGCATAAGTTCATATGGCCCTCAAAGGGCCAGGTGAGCTAAATATAGGTCTTTTTAAATGTTTAAGAATCAATTGATTCATCAATGTGAGTTTATATATACATGTACTTCAAAAATTTATTTTTTATCTATTATATAGTTCTTTCTTTTGTTTTTACTATTGTATATCTTTTTAAGGAACAAAGTGCCTCAATATGTCAATACTTTGTAATGGCTGAGTACATGAAGGGAAATTAAAAGACAGAATATTCACTATTAATTATTTTGAATTTAAAGAGATGTTTCACACAGTTGTAAAGGCAAGATGCTTAACTGAAATTCACCAATAAACTCTTTAAAACTGTTTACTTACTTTTTAAATAAATACATGAGATCACTTAAGAATGTAGTATTATGTAGATTTCTCCCTCCCTCAGAATGTCCTCTCTGAGGCTCTTTTAAGACAAACACAATTAATATCACACATACCATACCTAATGTAGGTGTAAACTGAAAACAGAAATATAAAACATATTGGTAAATGCAAAAATTTTAAATCATATTTCGACAACAGGGATTAAACAAGAGTGCACATGCTATAATGCCTTGCCTGCTTTACTCACCATTGATTTTATGTTGAAAGTCTTAAATATGAAGGTTTTACTACAAGTATCACATAAACTTAATATTTTTAAAGATCTCTGACAATGAGGTCAAGGTCAGATAAATCCTGTCAGACAGACACATATACCTTACAATTTTTCCATAAACCAAATATAGTTGACGTATTGCTTATGGTAACTAAAAGTGAAAACAGATCAAAACACAATAAAATGCCCCGCTTGGCGCAGCTTGATACGATCGCAGAGCTGAACCCTGAACAGTTGGGGCAAGTATGGACACAACATTCAAGCTTGATACAGCTCTGAATTTGGATTGTGATTAAATATTTGACACAGCATAGGTTTCTGACACAATATCCAAAATCTAAATACATGGTTTCTTCTTACTTCTTATACGTTCAGGTATTTCACATCCATTTTTTTATGGAAATATTCTTTATAAAGCACAAAAATGTCAGTATTCACCTTTGAAGCTAACAAAACCTATAAATAGACTTATTAAGAAAGGATATAGTTACGATACTGTTGTCAGGTCATTAAAGATTGCATATTTTGGCGTTAATATTGATTCACTTATAGGGTCTTTGCATCGGCACTAAACACATTTATTTAAAAACCAGTTGTTGGCATGACACGGGTTATGTTCTTCTCATATATGTTATGATGGTATGATACTAAACCCCTAACGGGAAGGATTGTGCCTGATATTCATATGATGAAGACATAATCTTTCAATCAGTTTAATTGAAGTCTGGAGCTGGCATGTCAGTTAACTGCTAGTAGTCTGTTGTTATTTATGTATTATTGTCATTTTGTTTATTTTCTTTGGTTACATCTTCTGACATCAGACTCGGACTTCTCTTGAACTGAATTTTAATGTGCGTATTGTTATGCGTTTACTTTTCTACATTGGCTAGAGGTATAGGGGGAGGGTTGAGATCTCATAAACATGTTTAACCCCGCCGCATTTTTGCGCCTGTCCCAAGTCAGGAGCCTCTAGCCTTTGTTAGTCTTGTATTATTTTTAATTTTAGTTTCTTGTGTACAATTTGGAGTTTAGTATGGCGTTCATTATCACTGAACTAGTATATATATTTGTTTAGGGGCCAGCTGAATGATGCCTCCGGGTGCGGGAATTTCTCGCTGCATTGAAGACCTGTTGGTGACCTTCTGCTGTTGTCTGTTCTATGGTCGGGTTGTTGTCTCTTTGACACATTCCCCATTTCCATTCTCAATTTTATTAGATTCAACATATCAAAGAATCCAAAGAATTCAATTTTTGATGAAATCAAACAAAGTTTAATTTTGGACCCTTTTGACCTCAATGTGGACCAATTTGATAACAGGGCCCAAAAATCAAAATACATGGTTAGATTTAGCATATCAAAGAACCCCATATATTCAATTTTTGTTGAAATCAAACAAAGTTTAATTTTGGACCCCAACTTGGACCAACTTGAAAACTGGGCCCATAATCAATAAAATGCTTCGCTGGGGCGCAGCTTGATACGACCGCAGAGGTCGAACCCTGAACAGTTGGGGCAAGTATGGACACAACATTCAAGCTTGATACAGCTCTGAATTTGGATTGTTATTAAATATTTGACACAGCATAGGTTTCTGACACAGAAAGAATGTGGTCTAAGAACTTGAATTTTTTTAATTTACCTATTATGGTCCAATGTCCAAAATCAAAATACATGGTTAGATTCAGCATATCAAAGAACCCCATATATTCAATTTTTGTTAAAATCAAACAAAGTTTAATATTGGACCCCAACTTGGACAAACTTGAAAACTGGGCCCATAATCAAAAATCTAAACACATGTTTAGATTCAGCATATCAAAGAACCCCAAGAATTCAATTTTTGCTAAAATCAAACTAAGTTTAATTTTGGACCCTTTGGACCTTAATGTAGACCAATTTAAAAAACGGGACTTAAAATTAAAAATTTAAATACACGGTTAGATTTGGAATATCAAAAAACCCCAATAATTCAATTTTTGATGAAATCAAACAAAGTTTAATTTTGGACCCTTTTGACGTCAATATGAACCAATTTGATAGCGGGGCCCACAAATAAAAAATCTAAGTTCATGGTTAGATTCAGCATATCAAAGAACCCCATATATTCAATTTTTGTTGAAATCAAAAAAAATATAATTTTGGACCCCAACTTGGACCAACTTGAAAACTGGGCCCATAATCAAAAATCTAAACACATGTTTAGATTCAGCATATCAAAGAACCCCAAGAATTCAATTTTTGTTAAAATCAAACTAAGTTTAATTTTGGACCCTTTGGACCTCAATGAAGACCAATTTAAAAAACGGGACCCAAATTAAAAATCTAAAAACACGGTTAGATTTGGCATATCAAAGAACCCCAATAATTCAATTTTCGATGAAATCAAACAAAGTTTAATTTTGGACCCTTTTGACCTCAATATGAACCAATTTGATAGCGGGGCCTACAAATAAAAAATCTAAATATATGGTTAGATTCAGCATATCAAAGAACCTCATATATTCAATTTTTGTTGAAATCAAACAAAGTTTAATTTTGGACCCCAATTTGGACCAACTTGAAAACTGGGCCCATAATCAAAAATCTAAATACATGTTTAGATTCAGCATATCAAAGAACCCCATATATTCAATTTTTGTTGAAATCAAACAAAGTTTAAATACTGGAACCTATCTTTGACCAACTTGAAAACTGGGCCCATAATCAAAAATCTAAACACATGTTTAGATTCAGCAAATCAAAGAACCCCAAGAATTCAATTTTTGTTAAAATCAAACTAAGTTTAATTTGGACCCTTTGGACCTCAATGTAGACCAATTTAAAAAACAGGACCTAAAATTAAAAACCTAAATACACGGTTAGATTTGGAATATCAAAGAACCCCAATAATTCAATTTTAGATGAAATCAAACAAAGTTTAATTTTGGACCCTTTTGACCTCAATATGAACCAATTAGATAACGGGGTCCACAAATAAAAAATCTAAATACATGGTTAGATTCAGCATATCAAAGAACCCCATATATTCAGTTTTTGTTGAAATCAAACAAAGTTTAATTTTGGACCCCAATTTGGACCAACTTGAAAACTGGGCCAAAAATCAAAAATCTAAATACATGTTTAGATTCAGCATATCAAAGAACCTCATATATTCAATTTTTGCTAAAATCAAACAAAGTTTAATTTTGGACCCTTTGGACATTAATGTAGACCAATTTGAAAACTGGACCCAAAATTAAAAATCTAAATACACTGTTAGATTCGGCATAACAAATAAATAAATGTGATCAAAGATTTTACAAATCTAATGCGCCATACTGTGCAATTAAAGATTACTTCTTGAAATTTTTCAATATTTGAAATTTGAAAAAAAAATAATATTTGAAGAATAATTCTTTTTAATTTCTGAAATCTGAAATGAGAAAAAATTGGCCCCCCACAATTTCTTTTTATCCCCCCCCCCCCTTTTTCCCCCAAAAAAATTCTTTCCCTCAAGATATGGTCATAATCTCAATTCAAATTTCCAATGGAGTTGGCAACCATAATTACCCATTTAAATTTACCATAGTGCTAACTTAATCTATTTTATAATAGAATTAATAAAAATATAGTGTCAAATCTTTCATATGGATTTTTTTGTAAAAAAAAAAGATGAAAACATTTGCAGATAATTTTACTGGTCTTCCTTTATAAATATGCATTTCTTTAAACATAATTTAAAAGCAGTGTAAGGGAAGTAACCAAAACGTTGTATTTGGATTACCTCCCTTACACTGTTTTAGATTATCTTTATTGTTCATTAACCATTACTTTATACATAATTTAAAAGCAGTGTAAGGGAGATAATTTCAATGATGTATTTGATTTATCTCCCTTACACTGCTTTAAATTATGTTTTGTACTAAAGTATTTGTCCATTAACCAGGACAACCTTGTTTTTCCCCCTTTTTTGCCCCTAATTCCTAAACGGTTTGAGCCATAACCCCCCAAAGCAAATCCTAACCATCCCTTTGTGGTATGGAAACTTGTAGTATAATTTCAGAGAGATCCATACACCGTTCCACAGTTATTGTCTGGAAACTAGAAAATGCTCATTTTTGGCCCCTTTTTGGCCCCTAATTCCTTAACTGTTGGTACCATAACCCCCAAAATCAATCCCAACCTTCCTTTTGTGGTATTTAACCTTATGGTCAAATTTCAAAAAGATCCATTCACTTAAACTAAAGTTAGAGTGCGAAAACCAATATGTATTCGGACGACGACGCCGGACGACGACGACAACGACGACGACGACGCCACTGTCATACCAATATACGACCACAAAATTTTTTTGCGGTCGTATAAAAATCTAAACACATGCTTAGATTCAGCATATCAAAGAACCCCAAGAATTCCATTTTTGTTAAAATCAAACTGAGTTTAATTTTGGACCCTTTGGACCTTAATGTAGACCAATTTAAAAAACAGGACCCAAAATTAAAAATCTAAATACACGGTTAGATTTGGCATATCAAAGAACCCCAATAATTCAATTTTTGATGAAATCAAACAAAGTTTAATTTTGGACCCTTTTGACCTCAATATGAACCAATTTGATAGCGGGGCCCACAAATAAAAAATCTAAATACATGGTTAGATTCAGCATATTAAAGAACCCCATATATTCAATTTTTGTTGAAATCAAACAAAAAAAAAAGTTAAATTTTGGACCCCAATTTGGACCAACTTGAAAACTGGGCCCAAAATCAAAAATCTAAATACATGTTTAGATTCAGCATATCAAAGAACCCCATATATTCATTTTTTGTTAAAATCAAACTAAGTTTAATTTTGGGACCCTTTGGACCTTAATGTAGACC